AGGGACGCCGCCCCCCGCGGTCGGGCGGACGGGCGCCGGGGGTCGGCGCGGCGGGACGGCGGGCGAGCGCTCACCTTGACGAAGAGCTCGATGACGGGCTCTTTGTCCTCCTCCTTCAGCCCGTTCAGCGGCATCGACAACGCCATGGCCGGCTCGACTGCGCTCAGCGGACGGCGGCGGCTGCTGCTCCTGCTCCCGGGTGACTCCGACTGAGGGTTCCCGCCGCGCTGCGCTGCGCCTCCCTGGACAGTCCCGGCGTCGAGCTCGCCTCAGCCGCTGATGCCCAGCACCGCCCCACGCCCCGCGAGCGACTCGGAGGCGGCCCCAGCCCGAGCCGCTTGAAGCCGCGGGGCGGGGCCGGGGGCGGGGCCAAGGCCGGGCGCCTCCGGACTCGGGAGGAAAAGAGCGGCGGAGCTGGGGGGCGTGGCCTGGGGCTGGGGCGGTAAAGCAGCTCAGGCTCGGCGGGTAGGTGGGCGGGACTCCGAGCCCCGCCTCCCGAGGGGGCGGGAGGGAAATTCCCCCGGGGGTCGGAGCCTGACACCGCCTCCCGCCGCAGCGCGGGCGCGTCCTCGCAGCTGCCGCTGGCGCTCTGCCAGGTGACCTCATGCCTTCGGCTGGCCTGGGGAGGCGAGGAGGCGCCTCCCGCTCTGTCCCGCGCTGCAGCCCACTGGACTCACAGCCCTTTCCCCCTTTCCCGCAGCGGCCACCTCCCCAAGTCCTTCTGTTAGGCGGAGCTGCCTTCCGGAGGGACAACTTTTCGGAAAGTTTTCATCCCCTTAGAAACACCTTTTTTTTTTTTTCCCTCCTCCGACTTCTTCCTTTTTCCTTTGACTCTCCTGTCACTTCTATCTCGGGAGCCAGCATATTGACAAATATTTATGAGGCCCTCGCGTGTTCCAGGCCCCGGGTGGTGAACAGTACGGACAGGATCCCTCTCCTAGAATCTACAGTCTGGAACTGCAACCCCAGTGCCTGAAGGCTAGTAAGGATTCCCAAGCCATTGTCTGTGTTCCTCCTGGCTGGACTGATTTCTCACCCCCGTTCACCTGGAGTGCATCAGAATCACCTGGATGCTACACTTGGCCCTGCTTTACCCATCCAATTCTCCTTCTCCGGGGAAGGGAGAAATTCACATTTTAACAAGCATCGGGACAATTTTGATGTAGGTGGTCCTCAAACTGGAAACACTGTCCTGGGTTTTAAACCCCTGGAGACAGAAACCGTGATACTTCTTTTTTTTTTTTTTTTTTTGGAGAGAGAGCACGAGCAGGGGAGGGGTAGAGAGAGAGGGAGACACAGAATCTGAAACAGACTCCAGGCTCCGAGCTGTCAGCACAGAGCCCAACACGGGGCTCGAAATCACAAACCGTGAGATCATGACCTGAGCTGAAGTCAGACGCTTAACCAACTGAGCCACCCAGGCGCCCCTGTGATACTTTGAGCCAGGCAGAAGGTATGCACCCAGTCCAGGTTTCCTACCGTTGAACACTTGGGGGAAATGTCACCCCCTCTGGAAAGAGTTACTTGTTCCCTCTTCTGGCTTTAGGTAATGCTTGACTCACAACTACTTCTCACTTACCAGGTTAAGTTGAATGATGAAGGCCAGACGTGGGAGGTTTGTCTCTCTACACCCTTAGCGTATTAACACACATTGGTGTTGGAACAAATTGAATGTATGCATGAAAATATAGTGAAACCTGCAGCTTCTTCCTCTCCCAGCCCGTAGCAAGTTGCTCAAGTGTTCTTGTAGGGACTCTGTTAAAGAGACAGTGTACCCCAGAGGTTAGGAGCACTGCTCTAGAGTCAGAGCCTCAGTTTCATTATGGCGCGGTGGGGCCCTGTTACCAGTCTTTGCCTTTCCACGTGTGCTGCTCAGTCAGCGGTGGCTGTTATCAGAGCCTTGGGCCTCATACTGTCCCTGCTCCCCCCTGCGGGCAAGGATGGCGTCATATTCAACTCCAACTCCCTCCGTGACCAGCTCGTTTGTTGGAAAGGACTAAATGCTAGGAGGCTGCCCCCGATATTGGGACTTGAACCTACAACAAACTGGAGTGCCTGTGTGAACTCTGAACTGAACCCAGTGTTAGTGTTTCACAAAATTATGAACTGAACCAAAGTTCCCTTCCCGCCGCCCCCCTCCACCCTGCCGGAACAGCAACCAAAATGGACCTCCAGTTCAAAGCAGTTCCAAGTCTAAAAGGATCAAATGGCACTTCAAAGAAGGCCCCAAACTGTCCCTGGGGCCGAGGAACAGTTCAAGACATCCTATTTTCTAAGGCGTGCCTGAGGGTTTATCGAATTCAGTCTGAATCAGGGAACATTCCCTGTGGTGTCTGTTGCAAGTCACTTGTGCTGGCATCCTAGCACCAGGATACAAGGAGATGGGGAAGGCCGGGAAGCAGGGGAGAAGACCAGGGCTCTTTAGACTTCCTTGACTACACTCAGCTCGTACCTGAAAGGAAACCATTCTCCTCCTTGGGACGCTGAGGCAGCGATAGTCTCTAAGACCCAGAGCCTGAGCCTGTGCTTAGAAACCCGGTCATAGTCACTCCTACCCTGGCCCCCCGCCCCATTTCCACCCCATAGGCTCACAGGGATGGGTAGAGAGGGGGTGAGTAGGGATGTTTCTGCAGGGAGGCTCCCTGAGCACATTGTATTCAAGTCTCGTTTGCCAGCTGTGAAATGTATGCATATTTTGCATTCTGTACTCATGTTTGTTTTGGTAGCACACACACAAACCTTAAAGACGGGTAGAGATGTGCTCTCTTTCCCACCTCCCCCCACACCCTTCTGACCTCATCTTAACTGCTCTCCCCTTTGCTCTCTACCCCAGCCACACCCACCTCCTTGCTATCCCTTGAACAAGCCAAACGCACTCTTGCCTCAGGTCCTTTGCACAACATATTCTACCTCTGTGGGACATTCTTCCCCCAGAATTCCCGCAACTCCCACTCCCTGGCCTCCTTCAGGCCTTTGATCACCTGTCACCTGCTCAGAGATCTCCCCAAGTACCATCCTGTTTGCCAGTGCAAGCTGTTCCGTTCTATCTCACCCTACCCCCTGCCATTTCTCTCCGTAACACTTACCACCCTCGGTCATATGTTTCACTCACTTATTCGCATATTGTCTGGCTCCCCCAACTAGACATAAACTCCATGAGAGCGGGGATTTTTGTTCCATGTTGTTTATGGCTATATTTCCAGTTTGTAGAACTGCTCATGGTACGCAATAAAAACTTATGGGATGAGTGAGTGTGCCCTGTTGATCTACAGTTTCCTGTACCCCTGGCTTGCCCTTTGCAGGGTCCTGCGTGTGCCCAGCCTGAAAAGCCAGGTGGTCTGTGTTTGTTACGATTGCCACTTGACGAGGAGTCAGGTTTTCCAAAGGACCAGATGGTGCCTCCAGAAAACTTTCCCGAATGACTTCCTCTTCCCTCCTCCCACTCTTGATTATGTGGCGTTATTGACTGACGGGCTCAACCCCCTTTCTATAACTTTCTAGATAGTAGACAGGGGTGCTATGCACACAGACTCTGGGGCCAGACCGTCCATTTTCCAGTCTTGCCTTGTCGTCGACTAGCTCAGCATAACTTATTTAATCTCTCTGCGCTTCAGTTTCTCATCTGTAAAATGGACCTAAAAATCAACTTGGGTAAGTTACTCAAGTATGTTCCCTCGTCACTACAGCAGACAATATAAGAGAACCTAACTCCTAGAGTCACTGTGAGGATTAGGTGAGACAACATTGGTGCAAAGTATTTAGTTAAGAAGCATTTAAGAAATGTTAGCGATTGGGGTACCTGGGTGGCTCAGTCGGGTAAACATCCGACTCTGGGTTTCGGCTCAGTTCATGATCTCCGGTTCGTGAGATCGAGCCCCAGGTCGCTTGGGATTCTCTCTCTCCTTCTCTGTCTCTCTCTCTCTCAAAAATAAATGAGCAAAATGAGGATAATTACAATACCTACCTCATAAGGTTGTTATGGAGATTATACAGATTAATAAATGTAAAGCATTTGACACAGTGCCTGGCGAATAGTAAGTGCTCAGTAAACACTAGTGGTTATGAATGCTCTGCTCTGCTTCCCTCAGTGCCTGGCATATGATGTAGGATAATAATCATCAGACTAAGTGAAAGAATCAATCACATAAATTTCAAACATTGCTTTTTAACTTCCCACCTCCTAAGTTCATATTGTTCTTTCTCTCACTGCACGTATAATAGGTGTTCAATTATTCTTCGGTGATGTCAATCAACCCGGCTATGGAAAATCCCAAGGCAGCTTTGAATTTCAGCTATGTCCCCATAATGTGAATTAGGTCCTATAAAATCTCGCTAATTGCACTTAGCCATAATTCTGGCTAACGTTTAACCTGAATGCTGTGTCTATAGGAGCAGCAACCTGTCCAGCCTCTCTATAGATCTGGGTTCACCTGGAGGCATCAAAGTCACTCCACAAACACAGGAGCTGGACACAGCCTTTCCAGGCCTTTCCAGGCTCTAGGGATAGAGTTCCAGTGTGTGGGTCCAAGGACGGACATGTTCATCCTGGCCACAAGCCCCAGTAGATGGACCTTCATTAGGAAAAGGACCATCCAGGTACCATTTGAAACCAGGGTACCGTGGAGAAAACTGAAGTTCAGAGAAGTTAAGCAGTTTGCCTACGGTCACACAGCCAATGAGTGGCAAAGCCAATAATCAGACCCAGATCTTTTTATCCATGTTGCCCATACCCTGGCCAACCATCTGCTCATAATGCTGGTCTTCAGGTTCTTAAGGGTATTTAAAAAAGATAGTACATAGGGGGCGCCTGGCTGGCTTGGTCGGTGGAGCATGTGACTCTTGATCTTGGGGTTGTGAGTTTGAGCCCCCGTGTTGGATGTAGAGATGACTTAAAAAAAGAAAATCAAATCCAAGGGAAGAAAAGATGGTACATAAAGTTTTTAGCATGGTGTAGACATTCAAAAACTATCATCTTCTGCTGCTTCTGCACAAACCCCTCCGCAACTCAATTTCTCCTTTGCCTCATGGTCCTGAGGTCAAAAGATGTTGCATAACAGGTCTTGGCTCAAATTCCAACTCTGCCACTTACCAGTTTAGGCAAACAGTTCCACCTTATTGAGCCTCAGTTTCTTCTTCTGCCAAGGGTCGGAGGCTTATGTTGAATCAGGGAAGGAAGGGAAAGTTTACACAGATGTGAGAGACCATTATTCATATTGAAAAGAATTCACTAACATGCTCACAGGATCTACTGGGTTGGCTGCCTTCAACATTACTTCCAGAGAAAAACAGCCTAGAAGAGCACAAGTGGGGGGAGGGGCAGAGAG